CCGTTTTGTTGAGGCGTCCTTGGTGCTGAAAAATTATGAGAAATTCCATGCTCTTCGCAAAAATCTTCAAAGTCTGAATTTTGGAATTCTCCACCGTGATCGCTTCTTATAGAGGCTATGGTGAGTGATTTCTTATTCTGAATTTGCTTTGCATATTTCTTGAATGCTTTAAAAGCATCACTTTTCTGCACTAAAAACAATGTCCAAATGTATCGAGAGAAATCATCAACAATAACTAAGGCGTAGAAAATACCTCCGAAGCTTTTTGTTCTTGATGGACCAAAAAGATCCATATGCAACAATTGAAGTGGCCTTGATGTAGAAACCACTTGCTTGGATTTGAAAGTTGTCTTGGTCTGTTTTCCCTTTTGACATGCATCACATAACTTATCCTTAATGAATTTTATTTTTGGGAGTCCAACAACTAGATCATGCTTTATCAATTTGTTTAGATGCTCCATGTGGATGTGAGCAAATCTTTTATGCCAAAGCCATGCCTCGTTGTTGTTTGCCATAAGACACTTTACCTTTAAGGAAGAGTCATCAAAAGAAATCATAAAAATGTTATTATATCTTTTACCTCTTAGAAAAATGTCATGAGTGACTTCATGTTCTATCAAGTATTCCTCCTTTGTGAAGTTGATTCAGAACCCTTTGTCACACAATTGACTTATGCTAAGTAGGTTGTGTTTAAGGCCTTCCACATAAAGAACGTCTTTGATGATTGTACATGGAGGTGCACCAATGGTTCCAACTCCAAGTATTTTTCCTTTATTATCATCACCGTAAGTGACGTATCCTTTGGCCTTTAATGATAGACTTGAAAATTTGTTTATGTCTCCCGTCATATGCTTCGAGCAACCGCTATCAAGATACCATTGATTAGTGGTTGTCTTCAAGCATACCTACAATACAAAATCAGGTAGTGTTAGGTACCCAAATTGCTTTGGGTCCTTGATAGTTAGTACCTTTTTCAACCTACACATAATGCCCTTTAGCAACACCAATATTGCGCACATAGCAAGCATTAGGTGTATGGCCTTTAATTCCACAATAAGAACATGTAGGTTGAAAGTGACTTCTATATCTAGGAACATAATTCTTTTTCTTTGCAATGCTTTTCTTGTTATGATTTTGATGTTGAACTTTAGAAGTGCTGGCCTTTTCTTTAACAATTTGTTCACTTGCTCTTACGAAAACGGTCTTATTGGTGCTTGGTTTTGAAAATTTAGAATATCCTAATCCACTTTTATCATTAGGATATCTTTGATGTTTTATAATTTCTTCCAAGCCAATTTGACCTTTTTCGTATCTTTCTAAAACTCTTTTGAGTTGAACAATTTGGAAAGATAAAGACTCACACTTCTTACATACAAGACTTTGTTTTTCATCCATCAGTTTCTGTTTTTCATCTTCAATATTTTTCATAAAAACAGAGTTTTGTTCTTCTAAAGATGAAATTCTTTTCTTTTGTGATGAGATGTTTTTATACAAAGTCTTGCACTCTTTTAGAAGTTCGTCTATAATTTCTTGTGCATCATTATCATAAACAGAAAAATTATTACTAACCTCATTTTCTTCATCGGAGTGGTGAGAGGTCATTAACGCCATATTTGCACATTCATCGTTTTCCGATTCCGATGATGAACTTACTTCGTTGTCGTCCCATGCGACATAAGCCTTCTTTGTTCTGAAATCCTTCTTGCCTTTGAATTTTCCTTTATTTGCGAGTTTCGGGCAATCTGACTTTATGTGACATTGTTTCCCACATTCGTAACATGTAATTTCTTGATTTGATGTGGGTGCCTCCTTTTTCCTGAAATGTCTATTCTTTTTAGAAAAAGAGGAAATTTTATTATTATTAAAAAACTTACCAAGCTTCTTTACTAGAAGCATGAAATTTTCGTCTTCGGAAGATTCGTCATTTTTGTCATCCCTTGTGTCAATCTTCAAGGCAATTCCTTTGGACTTCTTGTCTTGACTTTCATGCTTCTCAAGCCTTCCAAGTTCTAGTTCATGCTCTTGAAGTTTGCCAAATAAGGAAGCGGATGTCATTGTTGAAAGACTCTTCTTTTCCGAAATAGCGGTCACCTTTGGTTGCCATTCTCTTGTTAAGGATCTTAGGACTTTCAAGTTGAGATCATCATTGGTGAAGGTCTTCCCGAGGGCAATCAGATGATTAGTTAGATGAACGAATCTCTTTTGTAAGGCAACAATGGATTCACCAGGCTGCATACGGAACATTTCATATTTTTGACTTAAAGTATTAAGTCTTGATCTTTTTACTTCGGCTGTCCCTTCATGCGTTTCTACCAGGGTGTCCCAAATTTCCTTTGCTGATTTACACTGTGATATACGGAAGAATTCGTCCATACTGAGAGCGCTTTGAAGTATGTTGATTGCTTTCTTCTCATTCAAAATTCTCTTCTTGTCATCTTCATCATATGAGGATTTTATCTTTGGAGTTCCAACACCATTTACCACACTTGTAGGAACATGTGGACCAGTTTCTATGGTTTCCCATATACCATCTCCTTGAGCCTCAAGATGTGCCTTCATACGGATTTTCCAAAAATCGAAGTATTCTCCAGAAAAGAGTGGTGGCTTGTTACTGCTTCCACCATCTTTGAAAACCGGGTTAGTACTAGCGGAAGCCAATTAGGATCAATAGGAACAGGTTACCTTAACCTGCTCTGATGCCAATTGTAAGTACAGAATATGCCTAAGAGGGGGGGTGAATTAGGCTTTTAGGGACTTTTTCCGGTTTTTCGGTATTCTTGAAATTTTACTGGTTAGGTTCTTGGTGATGAATGCAGTAGAAAGAAAAAAAGAGTGGACACCAAGATTTATAGTGGTTCCCCTCACAATCCGAGAGTACTCCACTCCCCTTTCAACACGAAAGAGAGTTTTCACTATTGTTTAATAAAGTACAACCTATCACACCATCAACTGGTGAGGCCTACTATCAAACAATAAAAAATCAACAAGTTACAAGAACAATCCTCTTGTAAACACTCACCCTTGTGTCCAACAATCCTGGATCACAAGTCAAAATACAAGTAATCTGAATACTTTGATTTGAGAGTAATAATGGTAATATCAATGCTGAGATTGATCTTCTCCTTCTGATCAAAATTCACTCTTTTAATTTCAACACAAGTGTTCAATGCTATGCATATGAAAGATATGATCAATATGAACACTTTTGAAAAATTTGAAAGTGGTGAATTTGATTCAAAGAATTATTTTGAAATTGATTATTGGAGGATTATTTTTCAATTTGAAAAACTCAGAATTTATATGTGTAAACACACCTTTTCCAACAGGTATATTTGAGTATAATTCAAAATATGAACTGGTATAATTTTCAAACCATTTTTGAACTTGAAACAAAGCCATTTTTCAAAATACGTTCAGTGTTAATCGGTTAACCTATATGGTTAATCGGTTAACACTTGAACGTTATACCAAAATATTCAAAATTTGAAATGGTTAACCGGTTAACCTATATGGTTAATCGGTTAACACTGCTATTTTTCAGAAAAATGCTTATAAAAATAGTGTTATACCAATTCTAATAGTTTAAAAAATATGCTTATGCAATGTGATCAAATGATAAGGAAGTTGAACACTTGTATATCAATTAAATTAATGGATTTTGATATACCATAGCTTGTGTCCAAAACTTGAAAGTTGATCAGTCAAATGTTCATGAAGCTTTGAATGTTGATCACTTCCATTCCACTTGATCTTGGTCTTTTGAAAGCGCTTGCCTTTTTGCATAGATGAAATATTCTCGATCTTGATTGTTGACGTCATCAAAACTTTGAGATGAAGCTTGCTTCTACAAATTCAGGCTAGGAGTGGAAATGTTGGTGAGTGTTAAAATGGAGGTAATAATGGAAGGTATGACCCATGTCAATTTTACTATGTCCCCTACGGTGGGTGCCAATGTACATGATAAAAAAGTATAAATGTGTAGCAACCCTTAGATGATAAAGATTGCTAGAGGCTTTAGTATTTGTATGGGCTTAAAGCAAGCTTATGAGGGTGATGAGCTCTATTTTATAGGTGTTTTATGTGAATATGAGATTGTCCTTCTCTGCCCTCAGGGTGAAACTTTTATAAAGGCTTACGGGTCTAGATTTAGAGGCTCATAAGAAGTTTTCTGTGGCCATGACTGCTTTCGCGCGTAGCTATAGGCAACATGCACATCACTATCCACACTTTCTTCTCATGGCGAGCCATTAGTGAATGGAAATCATGTCAAGGTGACATACCCTTAGGCTGACGCCTAATATAGGTTGATTCTCGTGTCGCCCCAGACGTGTTTTTTACAAATATATCACTATGCATGTCAATTATTAATTTCATAATAATTGTACTACACCTTTATTGATTTTCATATGAATCATTTTCAAACATGAATCCTTCAACCTTTTCTAAATATCATTTTCTAAGTATCGCCAAATACAAATATGTTTCCAATTATACTAAAGAGTTGTCAGATGCATACTCAATTAGTCCACTATTTATGTAGAATGCCATTTTCCTATTATTATAATGTTTCAAAATTTTCAATACATACTCTTTTATATGAAATGTTAGAAGATCTAACAAATCCAACCCTAAACACCTGATCTATAAAATAAATCTACTAAATAATTTTATTTTTACTATTTTTTTTCATGAGAGTTTATTCACATAATTGTGAAAAGTAAATTAAATAACTAAAGCAAGAATTTGATAATAATCCTATATTTTCAATGAGTTAATCAGTACAAAAATTTACACAAAACAATTATAATTGGGCCTGGGCCCCCTTTATTTCCAAAAATAAAAATACTTTCTGAACACTAGTTTATTTTTCACACCCACACGTACTAGAATTATTTTATGAGAGTTTATGCGAGAAATAACAAGTATACAGAGCTATTTCATTTCATCGACGTTGAAGGCGGTGATTTGGTGGTGTGACCCCCACGTTGTTGTCAAACTCCATGGCTTCTTCCTCTTCCCGATCAACCGCCGGCGGCGGCGGCAATCCGAAGAAGTTAAATTTTTTCGCAAACGCGATGAAACAAAAGCATAGCTTCATTCAATTTTTCGCCATGACTGGAATTCTTCTCTTAAGCATGAGATCCGTCGGACAAAAGTACAAAATCCATGGACTTCAAGAGGATGTTCATGAGCTGAGAGAAGAACACAACTCAGTAACCGATCGTATGAACAACATCAAGCGATCATTGCTCGACGAAGCTTGTCAGGATTCTACTGGAATCTTCGCTGCTCGTCTTCGTAGTCTCTTCAATGAACAGAACTGATTCTTGTTATCGTGAGTTCTTTCTCTGCTATTTTTGTTTTTCTGTTTGTTAATTTCTTGAGAAATTGTTGTAAACCGCAGTCAATTTTTGTTGTAACTGATTATGAAAATTAGGGTTAGGAATAATAATAGTCTTTGGTTTTTGACTTTTTACCTCTAGAAATTTGAAATTTTGAATATTCTTAGGTTTTTATTAAGTGATTTTGTTGGTGCTGCTTGATTTCTGTTAAACGCTATACCCTAAACCGATCGCGCATGAAGTGTATCCGTCATCTTTTACTCCACTGTGCTAAGTTTCTTTCTATGCATTCATGGGATAGTTTATTTCTTTGGATAGCATCATGGTCTGAACCTGAGCAGTTACATAGTTTAAACATGTTCCCTGTTCCACATATCCGACTTCTGTGAACTCAATTTACTATGGTTGCGAATTAGAATGGTTAATAGATATTTCATTAAGTAAAAACCACAATTATTTGAATCAAATGTTCGTCTTCTTGCTAACATTGTTTTCTGGATTCTCTTTATTCTTTATCATAGTTTTCTTTTGTAATTTTGTTTTCATGTGCACCCTGAAATCACGAATAAATAAATAAATTTCCACGCTTTTATTTGGTCAGTTTGTTCTCTGCCGTTTGCCAATGGTTTATTTGTTTGGCATGATAAATGTCCTTTTTCTATTAGCAAATTTTCTCACATTGTTGCAGACAAGGCACCTCACTTTACCTCAAATTCACTTTTGTTATAGGGAAGATCCGAATAACCTTGTATTTTGATTCTTGTTCTTAAAATTTTATTGTCGGTGACAGCTAGTGCCCATCATGGTTCTCGTGTTATGTGATGATGTGGCTCATAGAAGTCCGCCTCACAATGATCTCGTGGTACTGAGATTTTATTCTACACCAGCAAAACCCTTCTCTCCCCTACCACCTCCTCTCCCTCCCTCCCTCCCCTGACATCCTCTCTTTCTATTTTTCTCTGTTTTCCCTCCCTTGCCTGTATTTTACCAGTAAACCGATACCAGAACGCGGCTGCAACCAATAGCTTTTTCAAGCAATAATTTCACTGAAATTTCGCCAAAATTTTATCACAATTGCAACTTGTTCCTCTCCTCCCGTTGTTAGATCTGTCTTCTTCTCCTCTCTGACTTAGACTCTCTCAATGGCCACCGAGGTGAACGGAAAAGTTTTTGCAGCATCAGGGGGAAGCAACAGAAAACCAATTCTATTAAACCATTTCAGGTGGGTCTTTGCTATTCCACTCTCTTGCTTTTTTATCATTGGCCATTAAAGATTTTTGCATAGTTTTTTATCAGTGTCACACTGTCGCGTTATAATTTTATAGTTAGGCATGCTGCAGCTTTTGAACTGAGGTTTCAATTCCACCCTTTTTGGTTAGCCTATTTAATCGAAAACCTTTCCCATCGACTTAAGATTTTGGACCATTCTTATTGAAAATCATATTGGGAAAGGGAAGGAAAGAGTGAGAGGGGAGGGTTTGCTGATATGTAAAAATTGACGTATCAGTTTGAGTTTATGTTGCCACATCATTAGGGTTGACATAAATTACTTAAGAAAATTATGGACAAAACCTGAAAAGAAAATATGCAAGGCTAGAATAACATGAGTTATGAGGATAACAAGTTGTTTGAACTGTATACCAGATTATTTAGCATTAGGTATACCGTATTAGGTAATTAGGTATGTAACCAACATGGATGTATTTTGAAAAGTTTGCCATTCACCAATTTGGAGTTCAATTTGAGGTCCAAAAATTTCTTGATGTCCATAATCACTAGTGCTTGTCTAGGTGTATATCTTATTTCGACATAAACATGATGATGATATGACCCATTTAGGTGTATGGGAGTTTGGAGGGGAATGGATGAGAGGGTTTTGAAAAAATGAATGGATTGAGGGTAAAATATTGAAGAATTTTGTTTGGAAGGGTAAAAAAAATTTATAATTTGGGGAACTCAAAATTTATATATTGAATGAAGGTTTGAGAGGGTTTACATAAATTTTATATATATATATATATATATATATATATATATATATATATATATATATATATATATATATATATATATATATATATATATATATATATATATATATATATATATATATATATATATATATATATATATATATATATATCGGTAGTCTTCCTTGCTTCCCTCCATACTCAAAGACAAAGCTTTAGAGTTTAGAGTATATGATACTCAGTAAAAAAATTTAAAATACTAATTAGTTAATGAGTAATGCCATTTATTACGAAATAATTGGAAAAAGAAAGACAAGACTGTATTAATGTCATTATTTTAGAGGATAATTTTTAATTTATTATAAATTTAATTTCTTTGTTAATAAAGATTCATCAGATAATAGTGATAATAAATAGTTAAGATTTATGTTGTCTTTGTTTTCACTATTTTTCTTAGTTAATCGGTAGGTAATTTTTGTACACTTTTTATTGCATGAGGTACGTCAATTAATCAACTTCTCAATATTATGGGTGTGTTTATTTTAAGGATTGAAATTACATTTTTGGGAATGTGATATTGAAAATACAGCAATTCTATTTTTGTTTTAAGTTTTTAAAAATTATTTTCGAGAATTTTTTATTTTCAGGAATGTTTGCACATCATTTTTGTCATACTTATTCTCATGCATAAAGGGTGGGAATTCAACATTTTAATGAAAATAAACTCAATTTACTATAACTTTCCACGGTTATTTACATATTTTTACTTTTTATTTTTTTTTCATAATTTTTAAATTAAATAAATATGTAATTATTTCTAAAAAATTTAATTTTTATCCAAACACATAGGTGAAAATATTATTTCTAAAAATAATAATTCAAAAAATATGATTTCAAGAAATGTGTTTGTATAAACTTGAAACAAACACACCTATATTATAGGTGTATTAAGTTTACAAATAGAACATTCACATATGAATTTCTCTTTCCAAGTAAGTTGGATATAGTTTTTTTTTTATCTTGGTTTTCCTGCATCCCTGGCTTTTAGACTATGTATGTTTGAATTGACTTATTTAAGTTTATTTCTAATCATAAATTTTTGAAATATTGATTGACAGACCTTATTAAAATACCTTACGATATTTTGCATAATTTTTTTAAAACTTAAATTTATAAGTTTTCATAATATCTTATGAAAATAATTTATAGCGTATATAAAAATAATTTAAATATATTTTATTTTTTATTATTAAATTAATTTATGCAAGTTTTTTCAGAAACACTTTAATAAGTATTTGTGCTCTAAGCTTCCAATAAGCTATTTATTTAAATATGTCATATTTCTTTATAGTGCTTATGTAACTCTTGTCAATTCTTAAAAGATTAGCATTTTCTTTTATGTTGGTTGTGTTAGAAAATTAGTGTATTTCAAAGTCCAATCTCTACTATTGAAAGTTTAGTGTAAAATGTGACCTAAAATTTTACACGTGTCAAATTGTTGTACCGTTCACTTTGACTAAATCAGGATGGTTCATTATACTTCCGCCCAAGTTATTAAACCTTGCCACCTATCATTTATTTCTTCTTTCTACCTTGTTATTCACGAATTTTGTCATATAAATAATTAATTTATTTCTCATGAAGATATACATAAAACACACCAGAAACTTATTTCTTCTCCTCCCTTCTTTATTCCTTAGCAATATATATTTGATATTCTCACTAGTTCTTGAGTTTTTGGTTAATGCAAGCAGAAGGTATTGTTTAATCTTGGAGAGTGTTTATGATAATACTTGAATAAAACTCTCAAGGACAGTGAATATAATTCACGAATTTTATTTCTTCTTTCTACATAAAACACACCAGAAACTTATTTCTTCTCCTCCCTTCTTTATTCCTTAGCAATATATATTTGATATTCTCACTAGTTCTTGAGTTTTTGGTTAATGCAAGCAGAATGTGTTGTTTAATCTTGGAGAGTGTTTATGATAATACCTGAATAAAACTCTCAAAGACAGTGAATATAATTCACGACTCAGCTCGATTACTTTCCATATTTTGCTTTGTGGTTTCGTTGCTGTTGAACTTGTTATTGTTTTTGCTCTCTTTATCCAACAATCTTGAGAGTTTTATCGTTTCTGATGGAGAGCCCTAACTGCGACAACGTTGAACAACCTAACAACACATCCAGCGGCACTGGTTCCATTCTTGTTTCTGCCCTCGATGCTGCTCCGGTCCCGCATTACGCAAAGCTCTTTCCTGACGTCTCGACAATCAAAGTCTTTGGAGGCCAAGATTTTTGCAGAGGGCAAGAAAGAATTTCCCTCACTCTAGACATGCATGGAGTTGCTTCTGCACTCACTAGTCCGCGACCGGATTTCTCTGCTGATCCAAAACATATTGAGCATTAGACATATTCAAACAAGGTATTATTCATGAGGTAACTCCCCCTTACTCACCTGAATCAAATGGAGTTGCTGAAAGGAAAAATAGAACTTTGAAAATATGATGAACTCTATGTTGGTTAGTATCATACCCGAAAATTTTCCTACCCATTTTCAAATATTTTCGCATTTTGGTTTTATAATTTGTCCACTTTTTTTTATTACTATTTATTTTATTTTTATCACCTTTTATTCAATATTTTGTTTATATTAATTTATTTTCTTTCTAAAAAATATATAAACTATTTCTTTTAGTTTCTATTTTTATTTTTATTTTGTCTATATTAACATTAAATCATTTATGTTAATAATATGGATTAGGTTTATATTAGTTTATTTGTATTAATTAATATAGCATTAACTTTCTTATAGTTATGTCAATTAATAATTAAAGGGGTTAATTAAGAAAATGAAAAGAAAAAAGGAGGAGGATGAACCGAAGGCCCAATAGTGGGAGGTCTGTTCTGATGCATATAAAGGAAAAAAGAGGAATTGATTGGAAAACCTAATGGGAATTCACTGTTCATCACTGAAAACAGCCGCCCAAACCCTAATCAATTGTCGCCGC